ATATATTCATGTATACATATATGCATATACAAACGTACTCATTTTGGTCAGTTCTTTCACCTCAACGATAGGAATGAAATTTGATACCAAAATATTCTTTGTGTATTGTTTCTCCTCACATTGTTGACATTAGCTTGCTTGAACATTTTGTTTCATTTCGTATCTACGCTTTTATCCTTATGACGCATATTTTTATGGAGCGGTCGTGTCATATTAGCATCTAGTTTTAATATTGAGATTTTCTGAAGGATTGTCTGCAGAGTGTAATTTTTCGCGAGTGTTTTTCCAGTTTTTGCCAAAGAATACTCGATCTGTGTATGCTGATGTTGGGTAGGGGCACTTGCGGATTAGAGATCATGACAGATGCTGCACAGACAATGATTGCGAAATGTGCGTGTTGCAAAGAACACTTGTATATATATATATATATACTCCATAGACATCCATATAGCTGAACACACTTTGATTATATTTGTTATATATGGCGTAGTTTAAGTAAAGATAGCTGAACACACTTTGATTGTATTGGTTATATATGGCGTAGTTCAAGTAAAGAGAGCTCGTCATGTCAATCGGTCACTCTGGTAAACACTTCTCTGAAGTCGTTATAGGTATGTTGTATCTGATAACATCACATACACATAATGATCACACTCTTCTATGCCACAAACTTAATACATCAAACATCACATACACATATGCTCACACTCTTCTATGTCACAAACTTAATACATCAATATCTATATTTGTAATGCACAAGCTTAGTTCCGCCAACAGTTTGTTGGTTCGTACTATTAGATCGACATCTACCGCAGTGAAGCCAAACGCGTGTGAGTGACCCAGCTGTGGTCAGACATGTGCCAGTCTCGCTAATCTTAAGGTGCATATGCGCATGCACACCGGCGAACGTCCCTATGCGTGTGACTATCCTGGGTGTGGCATGGAGTTCACTCAAAGTAGCCATTTGAATGCACACAAATGGGTGCACTCGGACGAACGTCCCTATGCGTGTGACTATCCTGGGTGTGGCAAAGACTTTACTCAGAGCAATAGTTTGAAAAGTCACAAGCGCGTGCACACGGGCGAACGTCCCTACGCGTATGATTATCCTGGGTGCGGCATGACGTTCACTAGTAGTGGTAATTTGAATACACACAAACGCGTGCACACGGGCGAACATCCCTACGCGTGTGATTATCCTGGGTGTGGGAAGAAGTTTACTGAAAGAGGTAGTTTGACAA